GGGAAGTAGAGGGAACCGACGCAAAGAGTGAAGAGCGGAGCGAAAGGTGAAAAGCGAAGAGCGACAACAAAACCAAACCAAACCAAAACCCGAAACCAAAGACTCGACGCAAGCAAGAACCAGCCGACATACCATCTCCAAACTCCCCCTCAACACCCCACACAGCACATTACTCCACCACAACCCCCCCTCCACAGCTTCCTCAGGCAGGTCTACCATCTCAGCCAGGGGGTTCTCTTCTAGTGTGAGGACGAAACTGGAGCCAGGGGAAGGGCGGGGTGCGCTTCCTGCGGGCGTGGGGGCCGGGGCGGGGGAAGGGGAGGAGATGGGGGCAGGGGGTGAGGAGTGGGTTATGAGCGGTGTGAGGTTTAGGAAGGACTTGAACCCGACCTGGGGGTTGTTTAGCGTCTGCAGGGGATGCAAGGAGTGGAGTGGGAATGGGAGGGAAAGGCAGAAAGACAGCGCAATAGGAAGGGGGGAGACGCACCTTGGCGACTACTTCCCCTACTTCGCGAAAGTCTGTGCATCGACCTAAGTTTGAACGAGCCATAAAGTCCTCTATCAGTCTAGTGCCGATATTGTACCCCCTGAGCGTGCGGCGGGGTGAGATAGGAAGAGGGAAGGAAGAGGAGGAAGTGGGACGGGGACGCACATCTTCTCTAACTGCTTGTTCACTTCCTGATAGTCTTCGTAGTCCTGTATGAGCTGAACAACAAGAGCGCCATAAGTGAATGAGAATAGTTCTGCGTTCTGTTATGCGGGGAGTGAGTGAGTGCGTCGCAGTGGTAGCAGTGGGGAAGTGGGGAGGGATGTACGCACTATCTTCTCTGTCCTGCCTTTCCACAAGTCATCTCCAATCTGTTTATAGTTGAGTCTGTTCGCCATTGGAGTAACCTAAGAGTGAGGTATGCAGCTGCTCCTCCTCTCTACACTAAAAAGGTTCCGTTGCATCAAAGGAACTCAAAGGGACTGCCTACTCTCTCTCACTCACTCATCAATGCCCATAATGCCCCTCTCACCATCTCATATAATGGACGACCCATCAATCTCCCTACCTTCAGTTACACCTCTCTCACCTGATCGTCCCCAAGTACCAAGAAAAGTCGCTCCTCCAAGTCTTATCCTCGGTCTCCCACAACCACCCCAATCCCAATCCCAACAGCAGAGGACTCCCCCTGCTAGTGCTACTGTTGCACGCCGTCTACCCCCACCACTACCACTAGTGACACCCTACGCCCCCTATGTCCCCAAACGTCCTCTACCACTACGCACTCACTCGCCATACACCGCCCACCCCTCCCCATCCTCTCCACCCCCAAGCACAGCACACTACCCAACATCCTACGCACCCCGTCAACGCGTGCCAACCTCACCGTCGCTCCACTCCCAGCCTTCCCTTTCCTCACTCGCTTCACTCGGATCTGCTGTCTCCTCTGATAGGCTATCGCTGCATTCTCACTCTCTCTCATCCCGCTCTTCGGTCCGCTCTCCACCTCCTTCTTCTCTCGCTCCTCCACAAGCACAAGCGCATATACAAGCACAAGCACAAGGCCTAACTCCCCCTCCCAGAACACTAAAACACTCCCACTCACATTCAGCAAGCTCATTCCAATCAGTATCCCTCTCCTCAGAAGGGTCACCTTCTCCACGTCCGGATCTCTCTCCCTCCACCCCCTCCTCCCTGCCCCTACCCCAATCGCAGCCGCAAGGGCAGGGGCAGGCAGATCAGGATCAGGCTCTGGAGGACGAACTCGAACGAGCGACTACGAGCAGTTTGGCAGATACGGCATCTTACGATATGCTTGATCTTTCTCCGACGTCACCTCGTTCTACCCAAGGGATCAATAGCAACTTCCCTGCCTATTCCCCGGCGGCGGGGGCAGCTCCGAGAGGGATTGTTAGTAGCACAAGGGCGATGTTTGAGCCCTCCCCCTCTCCCTCTCCGCCTATCCAAGGAGGTCTGTGGGCCGAGCCACTGCCCCGGACAGGACCAAACCAAAATCAGTCAAAGCCGAAGCCGGTGCGGAAACCTGTACCCTTGGGAATGGGAGTAGGAGGGATGGGGATGGGAGTGGGAGGGAAAGGGTCGGTTAGCGCCCCCCCTACGCCGCCGCCCCGGGGGAAGATGACGAACCAAGCCGGCCCTGGAATGAGATCGTCGCTTACGCCTATGCCTACACCGTCTGCTCCGGCCTCGACCCCGGTTCAGCTGTCGAGCAACGCGCAGGGACTCGCGCAGGCGCAGGGACAGGCGCTGGGGAAGGGGCAAGCGTTGAATGGGAGGAAACCGCCCATCCCGCCAATGGCATACCTCCGGTATGCGCTCGTTTTTGACAGGAACTGGACTCGGGCTGCCGGGCGTGGGCGCGTTTCTCCGTCTGGCTCTGGACCTGGCTCTGGATTTGGATCTGGCTCTGGGGCTGCTTCTACTCAGGTTCAGCCAGCTGCCGTGCTATCCACCACCAGCACTCCAAGAGCTGCTCCGACTCCAACTCCTGCCAAACCGATCCCTGCCAACCCCAGTAGCGGCCCGTTCACCGGATCTGTAGCGTTTACGACTTCCCAGCTCGGGAGGAGCGCTATTCCGGGAAAGGCACAGGGACAGGGCGGCAGCCTATCGACTTCGACTTCTCTTTCGAGCCTCTCGAGTAGCTCTACATTCTCGACACTCTCTTCTTCATCCACTTTCTCCGCGTCCGGCTCCGGGTCAGGGTCGACGTTCTCACCCCAACCGCAATCCCCACGTGCGCTTCCCCGTACAGGCACACAGACAGGGTCGACGGATACGCTCACTCTTAGTCTTTCGGTCCCTACGCCGACGCCGACGCCGGGGACGGGGACGGGGACGGGGACGGGGACGGGGACGAGGAATAGGTCTAGCGGGTGGAGGGGGACTAGTATGGACGGCATGGACATGGAAGGGATGGAAGGGATTGAGGCCGAGATGTTGAGCAGGGCTGCCGCTGCAGGAAACTGGAATGGGAGCGGGAGCGCGGAGAGGAAAGGGAAGGGGAACCGAGGACCTGGGGACGGGGATATCGGGCCAGGGAGTGCAGGAGCAGGGGCAGTGGGAGCAGGGGCAGGGGCAGGAGAAGGAGAAGCAGGGGAGAAGAAGTTGCAGGGATATGTCGTCAGAGCGGTTTGGACGCTGTCGAGGTTACAGAGGGAGGTCTTACAGGGGATTTGGTATGTTTGTCTTTCTGTCTCCTTTTTTCCTTCCCTATCTCTCCCACTTTCCCACTTTCCCTCCCCCCACCCTCCTCCCTATCACACCCACGCTCCCGCCAGGCATGCTCACCCCCTTCCCCTTCCCCTTTCTAGGAACGAATGTGATACCACCCACTATGGCGCTCTGGACAAAGAACAGTTCGCGAGGGGGATGTGGAGGATTGATGAGGAGCTGCGCCGGGCTCGGGAGAGGAGGGACCGTGGGAATGGGAAGGAGAAAGGGGGGAGGTGATCCTGTTTCCTTTTGAGGGGTTTCAGGGGTTTGGGGAAGGGCGGATTGCCTGCTGGGAATGGGGAATGCGAGTGTGGACTCGAACGGACGGTGTAATGCTATGTTTTGTGTATATGTTCTCTATGTGGAACTGGAGCCGTGGAACGGGGATACTGTAGGGGAGGGGATAGGGATATAGCTGTATGGGAATCATCTTCTCTATGGGATATCTTTTCACGACCAGGGAAATCTGTTCATACAGTGTAAACTAATGCTCTACAAACGCCTTGCTAGCCAACAAGTCCCCGTGTGCATGCGTGCGTGCGTGCGAAGAGGGGGCTACAACACCCCCCTCCTCCTGTCGTATATATCCGCCAAAAGCCCCATAACCCCTCCATCCAACACGTCCCCAGCCTTTCCATCATCCATCATCTCCGTCCCCCCAGGCCTCACTTCCCGCACATACGATTCCCCTAGCTCGCTGCTCACCTCCCCATCCCCCTCCGTGTCGGGCTCAATGGCCTCCAGCACTGTGGATGCGGAGAGAGCGGCACGGGAGGGAAGGGGAACCTTACTCTTCCGCTTGGTCATCGATTTCTGTAATGCGCGCTCGTAGAGTTGTGCTCGGTCGGCGAGCGCTTGACTAGGTTGAGGTGGGTGCAGGGGGTGCGGGTGAGCAAGAGGCGGTAGGTTCATGCTCGGCACTGGTAATGGCGCTGACACTGTTGTTGGCCCCCGACCGCGGGACTTGGACCGCCTATACGCGGCGCTGCTGGCTTGCACAACGGGGGAAGTAGTGTGCGCGTTGAGTTCCGCCAAACGGGAGAGGTAGAGAGATCCCGCTGGGTCGGAGGGGACCCATTCTGGGTTGGCGGCTTTGAAGTTTAGGAAACTTTTTTCCATCTTGCCTTCTTTGGACATCCAGTGTTCGTCGCCTTGTGCGGTTGGCACTCCATACTAGACAGATCGTTAGCGGTTAGCGAGTAGCAGGTAGCAGGGAACGCTAGTGGGGCTTACGTTCACGTTGCCGTGCCGCTTAAAGTCGAAGACGGCAAAGCTGCATACATATCCGAGCCCGTCGACGTGCACGGTAAACTCTCGAAAGAAGTCGATGATGGCAGGCGCACAGGCTGGGAGCGAGAACCACAGGATGAATGGCGTTAGGATGACGGATACTAGCTCTTGGACAAATATTGTGATCTTCATCTCATAGAGTTTTCCGAACTCGGTGTGAATCTACGCGGATCAGTACGCAGGTCTACGACGATGCAGCGTACGTACAGTCTTCGAGTGAAGCTGATCTTGCCATTCCGCTGGCATATAGTGGGTGAACTCGACAACGTCCCGCATGAGTAGTTCCGGGTCAAACACGGTGCGCTCATCCGGCACCATACCTCTAGACACGGCCAAGACACTACCAAACAAACCGAGGTAGAACAGGACGGTCCTATGCGGGGTGATCTCAAACCCAAGGAACACATCAGGGTTGATCACAGTTGCCAGTAGGAGAACCGCTGCAAATGCGCCAGCCACAAAGGAGACAAAGCGCATAATGGCCGCAACCTTTGACGACGGGAACTGCGATATATACTCCGTTGCGAATGGATACGACTGATGCATCCTCCGCGTGAAGAGATGCGGCAGCTCGTTGAACTCTCGAAACTTCCATTGCGCCAGCGGAGTGTATTGCCGTCCCCCGATCGACGAGGGATTCTTGTGGTATTCCTACAAGCAATCAGACCCGGTACATGTATACACCAGACAACGCACCTCGAAGTACCGGAAGAACGAGTACATCAGCAAGTAAAGCACAATGAAAGGAGCAAATACAGCATTGATTATACCCATGAAGATAAAACGTCGCTTCAGGCCCTCGATCAATACCGTCCGATTTCGTTCTTTCAGGAACACTTTACGAGGGTGGCCGGATGGATCGCAGAAGAACTCCATAACACAGAATCGGAGATTCCATTCCAAAGCCCGTGTCAGTGTTCCGGCCCCGGTCCGCGAATAGTTCCTCAGAAACGAGGGCAGAGGGAGCCTTGATAACGGAAGGGAAAGATTCAGGAGATCTTTGTTGAATAACGCGATGAGATAATTCTCTTGGCGCATGATGCGGTTTGCAATATCATGTGCGTCGAGCTTTTGCACCATCTTGCTCCCAGCCATGGATGATGATAAGGCCGCAGCGGTAAGTGCATTAGACTCGCGGATCTTGGAAATGCGAGCAACAATCGCAGGCCAGGAAATTGTTTGTATATCTGCCTGCGAGAGTGTCAGATGCGCGCATACTCCCACACAAGGACTTACATCGGGTACATCGAGAACGTGGGTATAAAAGCGATACATGTGGACAAGACGGACGATGCCATAGACATATGATACACACTGCCAGGCGTAGAACGCACCAAACGCCACAAAGAAAAGGAACGTCCACCCGGAGAACCGCGAGATACATTGAGGAATGATTACATTGGAGAGACTGGTATGATTGTGGATGGAGCTGTAGTCGATGCATGCCAGGAGAAACGTCGAGAAAAAAATAACAAATCCAACCGTGCTGAATATACTGTTAGACGTCGGATCCAAAAGAGCACAAGGTATCTCACAGAAGATTGAGCCCTCGCGTCAGAGCAATAGTGTATATGCCCTTTCCGACATAGTAGGCGTATACCTCCGACAAGGTCAGACTAGTCAACATTTAAAAAGGGATGGGATACGCACTTCCTGAAGATAGGCGTCCAAATTCTGCACATTTACCCAGTTCCACAATGCCATTTCACGGGCGTCGAGCCCCGCTTTTCCTACGGATGGCCCTCCTGCGTGGGTGACCGGTGCTGGCAGGGGCAAACCATTGCTGCTGGTCCGAGATGCGCTCTTCTTCGATCTCCTGGACGTCTTCACCGGCTGTGGTGCCGGTTCAATCATAATGCTCTTCGGAGGTTCACTTCCATCTTCTTCATCCTCTTCAATAGCGCTCGGCGGGGCTGGGTATTGCGCCTCAGGCTCGTGAAGCGCTATTCGTTCCTGTATGGGAGTGCTCGTGCCATCTTCCAGCTCGTCCATCGGTTCATCTTCGTTCTCTTCCGGGACAGAACTGGCAATAGAATAACCTTGGTAATGCCTTCCGAGAGGGTTCAGGAGGTTCAGAAACGGCCTATGGTGGGTACTGTAGGTCGATGAAGCTGACAGAGACGGAGGAGGAGAGAGTGCCCTGGAGTGACGAGAGCTGGACGGATGATGAGGTAGAGAATGAATCGACATGTTCAGCAGTAGAATGGAGCGCTCGGAGCCATCCACTGCGCTCTCGTCCTCGTTTATTAGAAAGATGGCCAAACAGGAGCGTCGCCGTTGAGAGGAGTATGGCCGTTGCGGAGAGGGGGGCTGCGTGTCCCTGAGTAAAGAATGCCTCCGAAGACGCGGTGAACGTGACTTATCTCTCGACGCGTCTTGTTCTCGCACGACCATCTCTATGCTTCGTTCGATGCAAGCTTTGCGTTATTGCGATTAAAATCTTTGTGTATCCTTCAACCAGTGTGATTATACTCTATCGCCTGTCTGTTGTTCTACCTACAAGATGTCCTCCGTCTCCGGCACACGGTCTTTTCAGCCTCCTCCAGCGACGCGGCTCTGGCCCCTCATCCATTGCAATGTGTGCTCAATTCCGTTCTTTCCCCGCAATGATCCCTCCCAACCCCCTCCTATGCCATTCTGGATGACAAGCTGTGGTCATGTCATTTGTAACTCTCATCTGAGTGAGACAAAGGGAGCTACTTAACGGAGATGCCCCGGTGGAACTGAGCCGTCTGCAGGACCTGATCAGACCTGCGCTTGCTGTAATGCCCCTAATGTGCAGCCTGTTCCTATGCAAGCGCATGTCAGACTAGATTTTGTATCCTTTACGAAATTGCTGCTGAGGATCCTTTCAGATGGATCCTCTTCCTCTAGCAACCTGGCATCTGTTCCTTCCCGATGCTCTAAGCCACTTAACACGCGCTGCAAATTACCAGCATGAATCTACACTACGTCTTCTAACTAGCCTTCAAGATAAAAAGGAGCGTTGCGAACGACAAGAACATTTGTTGCAGAAGATCAAGCCCGAATTGGAGAATTTGAAGGCTGTTCGGAGGTGACGATTTCTCCTTCCTGTCAGTCACTCCAAATTGCCTATCTCGACCCAATTTCAGACAGGTCGAAGCACTCCAGCAAGAGAATGCTGAACTGCGAAGAAGACTTGGCATAAACCCTGCGGATCCACCCATGTTCCCCGGCCCGCATAGTGATGTCCCAGCCAACTCAGCCTCAATGGCACCAGAGCACAGTGCCCTAAACGCAAATGGAAAGCGACCATATCCCAGCGATCCGTATGTCTATCATCTAGCAGTCAGCTGATACCCACTCAATCTGTCGCCAGCAACCCCATGGCACCACCAACGTCCCGTCCGCCCTCTCGCCGCCCCTCTACATCGTTGGGCCACTCTGGCTCTTCTGAGCGATCATTTGGGGGCATGCCACCAACTCTCCCTGATCGCATTACTTTGCCAGCAAGAGAACAGGGGGCAGGAATGCGTGTGCGATCAATGGAACGAAGTGTCACCACCCCAGTACAATCTCTTCAGTGCGTACCGGCTGTAACCCAAAGTCTCTACTCAACTCTGACATATATGCAGGCGATTCACGTACACTGCCCCATCAACCCCGACTCGCTTTGCACCCCCGGTTCGACCGAGCTATATTGGGCAGCACGCGGAGAGGCGAACATCAGGTCCGATTTCGTACTCGGCAAATTCCTCGAACCTGGGGAATATGGGCCCACCGCCAACTCCGGTTCATAGAAGAGCGCCCGTGCATCAGGGCATGTCAGGTGCGTCCAATACCTCCGTATATGCGCCAATATGTGCACTTATCATGCTCCCCTAACAGGAGGGAACATGGCGATGCCAATGGCAAGGCCTCAAACTGCTCCTATACAACCACCTTTCACACCACGTCGTCCCCATCATCATGGCCCTGTTCCGTTCACTCCCCGAACTAATTTTTCAGAGATGGCACAGCTTCCTCACGCGACACCTCAGCACCAGAGATTTGGCAGCATGGCAGAGGACAGGCGTCGAAAGTTTGTGCCTGCAGGTGCAGTCCAAACTGCAAACTGGAGCGGAGGAGCACACATGGGTCCATGAGAGCCACTTCGGTTCCCGGGCTCTGACACATATACGCCAGTAAATCGAATACCTGGACGCATGCAGGCTTCATTGTTTCTATTTGTTCCTTCTTATAATATCAATATGCTCGAACAACTCATCTCAGATCAGCTCTGGAAAACCGAGTCATCTCTCCATGTGCGATGCATCTCCTTATTCCTTCTTATCCGCAGCCAAGATCTCCTGGACCCTCCTTAGCTTCGACTCATTCCCAGTCCCAGGAGCCAGCACCTTATCCGTCCTCGTTCCGATGCGTATGTCAGTGGCAATACGGGGTGCGCCCTGCTTGTGCACGGCGAGACTGTAGGTCAGGTGAGAAAGTGAAGTTGAGGGGTGAACATGATGTGCATACTGGCAGTCACCAATCGCAGCGCATACAGCGTCCCACGGTCCTTCTATAATGACTCAGCAGTGACACGCAGAGTCCCATCAATTCGGCATACCGAGGTTGGTGCCGTAACCGCTTGAGAAGTATTGAGAGGTAGTAACATGGCTGATGTGAACGGTGCTCACTGCATCTATTGCGATGTAAGACCGGAAGAGAGTATGATGGACAGCGATACGCACTTTGAACGTCAATCCAGACTTCTCCAGCACCCGGTGGCACTACCACGCAACTACTCAGTATCAACTACAGCCATGAGGCGACAACAGCACCTCTGCGATATACGGTCCGACCTAAGCATCGTATTAGACCACGCTAAGATTTCGGAATCGGGACAAGAGACGTACCGACGGTTCGCCCGTTCCCATAGGGATCAGACAGAAGTCCGCTACTGCATATATTTCTTCGTCTGACCCAGACATGAATAGACAATGGATGTGTGGAAGGCGTATGGCGGTCGCTGGCACTGGAGAACGTGGGACGGGCGCTCATCGGGGATATCGGGTCCAACTATGACGCAGTGATTGTATGACACGGCCGACAACTTTCCGATGAAACAACCACCAAGAATCAGACCTGCTCTGTCAACGTCCAGATACGAGTCAACAACGGCACCTCGACGATTCCCTATCTATATCATCCTTGTGTATTAATAGAATCTGAAATACACCAGCCTTTTCCGCGAGTTCGACATTTCCCTCAGACCACCATGTCCGCGATCACTCTGCGTGCAGAATCCTCCTCTGAGGGAAAGTCACGACACCGCTCTTTTCGATGACTCCCTGCACCAATCCCAGCTGCGGCTGATCCGATTGATCCCACAGACCACCGTGTACCAACGACTCCGCGCGAATAGGATTGGACAAAGTGATCCACGTCACCACCCATGCATACCCAATCAGCCGCGTCCACATCGTATCTTTCAGGCCGAGACGCTTGCCGATTATGATGACGTGATCTTCGCAAGCGATGCAGACGGCTTGTAGGGTGAAGAATAGAATGCTGTCGAATGCACCCGACCAGGTGCGAAGGAAGGCATAGGCGCCCGACGCATGCACAATCCCGGATATGAAGAAGACGATGAGAAGCTCGACGTATGTAGTGAGTTTCTTGCCCCGTGTCAATCCCAGGACGTCTTGGGCGAAGAATTTGGCATGAGCGGTCAAAAACTGGAACAGAAATGTTAGCGAAGCAGGTAGCACCAATGATGGATTTTGCAATTGTAACTAACATGACGATGGAGTTGGTGCCATGTACGTCTGATTCAAAATGAATCATGGCTGTCAAATTCCAAGACAATGACGCACCCCCAGAATTTTCTCACGGTGTATCCATCCCGAATCCTGCCAAACATGTCCGGCCAGTCTTCTTGCTTATAGATGAAAAGCGGGACGGTGACTGCAGCCGCCAAGGCATGCATGAGGAGCATAGCCCCGCCCATATTGATCCATTCCGCAAGGTTGTACACGACCTGCCATGCCATACCATCCTGATATACCGAGCCGCCCGTGTAGCATGCAGAACGGTTTCGATACAGCGTCTGGGCAAGGTCCATCACAAGGAGGCAACCCGCCATCCCCAGAAGCTGTCGGAGGGTGAAACGCAGTCGACTCTCGTTCTTCCCCATTGAGGTCCAAAGATGCTTCGCTTCGAAGTTCCACCCTATGCCACGTAAATTCATGGACAAATCTAGCGCCCATTTGATATTTGTCCAGCTCAATCCGGGCAGGGCGAAGAACTTCCCGTCTTTGTTTGAGAAATCGGATGCTGGATCATGTAAAACCAGCAGATCGGATGCAAGTAACGCGGCGGTTGCGAGCGTGTGCGCATTATACATTCCCTCCCGGGGCGTGGATGGTGGAAGGTGGACGATGTAGTAGTATACGAGGGCGAAAATGGCGACGACGAGGGAGCGGCGTACGACGTAGGACGACGAGAGCAAGCCCAGTGAGCATAGGACGCTGGGCGTCAGGAGGGTCACCAGGGGTTGCAGTGGGGAAGACATGATCGACAAGTGTGTGCTCTCGTCCTGCAGTAGGCAACCTAGTTAACGAATCCGTGTCACATTCAAATGGACATTCGGCCCCCGAACGATGATTCATTGGTAATTGGGGCCGGGCCTGTGCCTAGCCTTTGCCAACCGACAATGAGGTGTTGCACATGATTGAGAGTGAAGACTGGATCTGGGCATAAGTTTTAGCAGCATGCGCAAGGAAGGTTGCTGACGGCTGACTCGAGAAAAAACTGGCATGGAGGTGTGCCATCAGCCTCGGGTTTAGGAAACCTATAGCTAGCGTCACCAAGAAGGCATTAATCGGCTGTTTGCTAGCAAGAAGGGTGCCGAGCAAGCTGCGAAGTACATCTTGGTGGAATCTTGACACCAGAATAAGTCATAATTTACTTTAGAAGGACATGCACCAGCAGGCGAGAGGCAAGGTATTCCAAATGCAGGTTCCGCGGTACCGAGACTTTCACAGGGGACCAACTTGATAAGACATATTCCGGAAGCCTCCCACGGGAGCGCCACGTATACAACTAGTCCCAGCGCCTCTTTCCCCCTCACACCTGCATAATCTCTTCATCGCCTCCAAATGAGAGGCAATGACGCACGAAATCATCAAAAAACGAACCCGTGAGTGAAATGATATCGATTGTTACATCATCAAGGTCTGAGGAACAAAGTCTACCCTGCACCTTTCAGGGTCATCTCATCGTCAGGCACGAAGTCCGTGAGGCCTCTCGCCGACCATTCAATGCTCATATATGGGCTTGACCTCGAACATGTTGCTGCCCGGTTGCAGCGGCACAGCCTTTTCACCGTATATAGGCTTCACAGCGAACATCCCCGTCGGTACCTGTATGTCGAACCCGATGTCCCCATCTGACTTGACGGTTCTTAAGTCGTCGGGCTGCCCAGCCCCAGGCACAGGCCCAGCGGCGCCGTCAACGATGGGAGCCGCTGACCCCGGGGCGGCCGCCGCTTTCTTCTCCTTTTTGGGTCGCGCAGCATCCGTTGTGCAGGGTGGGGTTCCCTTAGGCTGCTTCTTCGCCTTCGCAGGCTTCTCTTCCTCCACGGGCTGTTCCGCCTTACTCGCTACTCCCGCAGCTTTCCCGTCAGGGATATGGATGAACTCGAGCGTCTCCTCGCCCTTAGCGCCGGAGATGTTGTCGAGAATATAGTACCCCTTCCGCTCGAACTGGATGATATCCCCTTTAGCGAGATCGAGCACGTTCGCGTCCGACCAGGCAGCGACCTTGAACTCCGTGACGGGGGTAACAAAGTCCTGCACTTTGTCCTCCTCCTCGAGTTTCTTTTTCGTAATAAGGTAGTCGTAGTCCTTCAGTACGACGTTGACCAACGGGTGGGCCGCTGTCGGAGAGGTGAGCCACGTGATCTTCTTCTCGGTCTTCTTGAAATCGCCCTCTAAGTGCAGATCCATCGTGATATGCGTGATGACGCCGTTCGGTCCGGTCTCTTTTGAGCGCACGATCGCGTTGCCCCAGTCCATGAGGGTAATCTGCTCAGGTGATCAGTATCTTGTCACTTTCTGAAACGAAGCAACACTCACCTCCTCATTGTCCTCGAAGATGACCGCATCCTCCTGCTCCACATATATTTCTCCACTATAGACCGTCTTCTTCTCCCCCACCTCAGAGTTCTTCTTATGCTTCGGAACATTTTTCACCTCAACCCCTGGCGCGCCCCTTATCGTCACCTTCACCGCGTTATCCTTCATGATCGCCCAGAAGCGCGGTGCAACAGGGTCGATGACTTTCTTGTTTAGCGACCAAATCGTGTCCCACTCGAGAAGCAGCTGGCTCTGACTAGGCCCCTGAGCAAGGATAAACTGCTTCAAGCCCTCGACGGTCATCCCCCTCCTCCGAATCCCGCGCACGGTAGGGAATCGCGGGTCGTCCCACCCTCCAACAAGCCCTTGGTCGACAAACCAGTGCAGCTTCCTCTTGCTCAACAACGTGTAGATGAACGCGATGCGCGAGAAGTCCCACACGTGGACGTCCCTCATCCCCAGGGCTTGGAGGAACCAGTGGTACTGCGGGTTCCGGTCACGGTACTCGTTCGTCCTCAGCGCGTGGGTCACGCCCTCCAGGCAGTCAACAATCGGGCAAGCGAAGTCGTATGTCGGATAGACCTTCCACTGGCTGCCGGTCCGGTGGTGGGGGGTGAGGTTGCACCGGTAGATAACAGGATCCCGCAGTGCACCGTTATCGTCGTTATATGAAATCTTGGCGCGAATGCACCAGCGCTGGCCCTCCACGCTGCCGGTCTTCATCTCCTCAAATTTTTGCAACGTCTCCTCAGGCGTCATGTCCCTCCTCTTGGAAGGCAGGCGCTCCGTCCGCTCGCACCTCATCTGCTCCTGCTCCGTATCGTCCGCATACGCCTTTCCCCGCTTGATGAGCTCGACACACTCCTCGTACAGCTTGGCAAACCAGTCACTCGTATGGCTCAGCAAGTCTGCGTGCACTCCGAGCAGGGCGAGGTCTTCGATGATGCTCTGCTCAAACTCTTCTTTCTCCTTGCTCGGGTTCGTATCATCGAATCGTATGATCAGGCGGCCCTTGTACATCTGCGCAAAGTACTGGTTCAGCATAGCGGCCTTAGCATGACCGATATGCAGGTATCCTGATGGCTCGGGAGGGAAACGGGTTACAACTTTGCCCTCCGCGGCGTCTGGCAGGCCGAGAGCGAAAGAAGATGCAGCAGCCGCTTTCTTCGCACTCTTGTTCTTGCTCGAGCGTGCCTCAGTAAGTGCAGCGAGCGCACTCTGCACACGCTCGAATCCCTCCAAATGGGCAATCCAGCGCGCAAGATGTACGTGCGCCCCGCGCTTCAGAACACCGGCGACGACGTTGTTCCTCTTCAGTGCACCCCAGATCGCGTAGTCCGCTACTGTAGGCTCGTGACCTGAGAGATAGGTACGAAGTGCTAGGCGGTCATCTAGTGCGTCGATGGATGAAGTAACGGCGGCGAAGGCGGTAAGCGTGCTGAGTGCCACAGCTTGAGCAAGGAAGGCCTCGGTCTGTTCACGTCAGGTGGTATAACTAAACAGGAAAGAAAATCTGCATACCGGGCTCTTTTCTCCCCAAGCAGATACTTGGTCTGCCAGGGCTCGGATCGACTCCTCCACTCCCCGCACCTCCCCCATAGGGGAAATGAGCTCGACGGAATGCCGCTGCTCGTCGTCGAATACGTATTCGACGCCAGAGACGGCAGCGAGGGCGAGCACGCCGAATGGGAATGGTGCGTCTTTGCTGTTAACGTAGAGTGTTGTCATTCCTTATTTCTAGATGTTTTCTGTGATAAAGGTGGTATGGGAAGAGTGTCGTGTGATGGTTATAACAAGGATGATCATGTCCAAGTCACGCACAGATATAACTTCTGGCACAGCCACTTTCCCTTACACCACGCGTGAATTAATCCGCAATTAATCCGCGGGTTAGTTAAGTACGGAAGTACAATTTCTCATGTATTGCCGTTTTCGGCCGAGTCCAAGGGTCTAAGGGCGAGTCAGTGTGCCCGTGCAAGAGCAGCTTCGGAGGGACCGAGTCAGTCACTCTCTTGTTACTCTTCACTCAACCTTCTTGTTCTCTCTGTACTTCTGCGGGCGCATTGCTTTATTCGAGATACTGGGGTTGACTTAAAGTGACTGGACTGCGACTCACTTGACTCACTTGACTAACTTCACCCTGCTTGCCTCGTGTTCACTTGCATCACACACTATACAAGACATACATCATGCCTATGCTGTACGCCCCTCTCCTACTCCTCCCGAACAAACTAACATCCCAAGTCCCATCCCCTCTCAGAAGTACTCTCCCTACACCCCCCTCCATCTCCCCGACCGCCAATGGCCTTCCAAGACCATTACTCGACCCCCGATCTGGCTCTCAACCGACCTGAGGGACGGAAACCAAGCCCTGGTAAACCCCATGACTGTCGACCAGAAATGGCGCTTCCTGAAGGAGATAGTCAAGTGCGGGTTTAAGGAGGTCGAAGTCGCTTTCCCAGCTGCGAGCGACACGGACTTCGAGTTTGTTAGGCAGGTCGTCGAGGCCCAGCGGACGGGAGAGATACCTGAGGATGTGTGGATCCAGGTCAGTTAATCTCAATATCAGAGAACTCTGTTGACGCCATGCAGGTGCTCACACCCGCCCGTGCAGACATTATCAAGCGAACAGTCGACTCCGTCGCAGGGGCGAAGCGTAGCATTATCCACATGTACAACGCTACCTCTCCGTGTTTCCGCCAAGTCGTGTTCGGGAACACGAAGGAGCAGACGCTTGCCCTAGCTGTAGACCACACGAAGCTCGTTCGCCAGCTGACGGACGCCTGTACAGCCGAGCACGGCACCAAGTTCCGGTACGAATACTCGCCTGAGACGTTCAACCAGACGGAGATGGAGTTCGCGCTCGAGGTGTGCGAGGCGGTGAAGCGTGCCTGGGGACGGGCAGCAGAGGGAGAGGAAAGGATCATATTCAACCTTCCTGCGACGGTGGAGATCGCCACGCCGAACCATTACGCAGACCAGATCGAGTGGTTTTGCAGGAACATCTCCGAGAGGGAGAAGGTCATCATCAGCCTGCATCCGCATAATGATCGGGGTGCGTATATGCGTCTCTATGTCCCGATATGTGCTGACACGGACTAGGAACGGCGATCGCCGCGGCGGAACTGGCGATGATGGCCGGTGCGGATCGGGTAGAAGGCACGCTCCTAGGGAACGGCGAGCGCACGGGAAACGTCGACATCGTCATCCTAGCACTGAACCAGTACTCGCAGGGTGTTTGGCCTAACCTTGACCTCTCAGACATGTACGGCCTTATCGACGTCGTCATGTCCTGTACTGAGCTGCCTGTGCACCCACGCCACCCCTATGCCGGAGAACTGGTATTCACCGCCTTCTCCGGGTCGCACCAAGATGCAATCAAGAAAGGGTTCGAGAAGCAAGCGGCGAGGCACGCCGCAGACCGGGCAGCGGGGCGCAAGGAGCTCTGGGATATGCCTTACCTGCCTATCGATCCACAGGACATTGGCTGTTCGTACGAAGCCGTGATCCGCGTCAATTCCCAGAGCGGCAAGGGCGGTATCGCCTACCTCGTCAAGCAAGCGCTCAAGCTTGACCTCCCACGCAAGATGCAGATGGCGTTTTACCAGGTCGTTCAAGACGTCGCGGACAAGTCGGGGAAGGAGATGACAACGGAGGATATCGTCTCCAATTTCTGCAGGACGTATCATTTTGGAGGGATGCAGTACGAGGGTCGCCTGGCTCTACGCTCGTTCACGCTGGTCGATATCTCGCACAGTGTGTCGAGTCTCACGGGAATAGGGAGCCACAACTATACTGAGGAGGATGTGGACCGACACATCCGGATCGATGCCAAGCTGCGCGTTGACGGAGTGTTGATGACCCTCTCTGGAGAAGGGAACGGGCCACTCTCAGCACTCCTCCACGCTCTGCGCGATCATCTCGGTATCAAGCTCTCCATCAGGGAGTACATCGAGCACGCTATCGGGGAAGGCACGTCTGTCCAAGCGGCAAGCTACGTCGAGCTCGTCCCCTCCGAGCGGGGCCCAGCCGACCGCAGCAGCAAGGGTTTCTGGGGCGTCGGCGTAGACTTCGACATCACCTATTCCGGCCTGCGCGCCGTCCTCTCCGCTGCGGACGTCACCATTGGCACTCAAGATCTCCCAAAGCTCAACGCTAAACGCTCGTTTAACAGCACCACAGGCGCCCAAGTCGCAGACGCTATCAAGAGCACTCTTGATCTTGATATCCCACCCCGTCTGCAGATCGCCTTCTCCGAGCTGGTGCGCGCGAAGCTTGCGCAGAACCCGACACCCGAAGGGCTCGCAAAGGAGTTCAAGGAAGCGTATCAGTATGAGGTCGAGGGGGCATTCACTCTCCTCACTTACGCCTACGGACAGGGCCCTAACATGAGGCGCACCCTGACGGGTAAAGCGAATAGCCCGATAGGGGAGATATCCCTCAACGGGGAGGGGAACGGCCCGCTCAGCAGTCTCCTGAGCGCGATCAACATCTACCTCAGTGCAGAGCTGAGCGTGCGCCAGTATTCTGAGCACTCGATTGGCGAAGGTACGGACGTGCGGGCGGCGAGCTATGTTGAGCTCGTTTGTCCGCCTGTGCCGGGGGAGAAAGATCGTCCAAGTGGGTGGGGCGTCGCGGTCGACGAGGATATCACTGCGAGCAGCCTGAAGGCCGTTCTTAGCTGTATTAACGGGATGGTTGCTACGGGCAAGGTGGGTGTGAGAAACCCAAAAAACTAGCCGGGAGGCTGGGACTGGGAGTTGAATGGAATATGTGAAATCTTGTGTTGAATGAAAACAATGTGTTGGTGTCTTCTTCCGTCGTTGGACTGATAGCTTCTCTCTGCCATTGTACTTGGCCTGTGATCTTTTGATTTGCCCTGTCACCACCAATGGTCGATGTTGATTGTCACTATTCCACTCTTCAACTGGCTGGTTCGAAAGGAGCGCTGTCGAAGACCGCTCACAAAACTGTGGCAAGCGTGGACCGTGATAATAATCATGGGATTTGGATCATTCACGATGTATTAAAGGGCTCAGAGTATGAGAGAAGCAAACAGTAGGAGCCCAATATCTATTGTTTATTCAAGGTGTCGAAAAGAGAGCATAAGATGACTCCAATTTTCACATGAATTTTGCTTGCACAGCCGCTTGCTCCTAGTTGTCAGGTTCCTACCAACGACTCCATCAACCAACGATCATGCCTCCACGCTCATCTCGCAAACGCGAGCTCTCGTCACCGTCCCCACCCCCAAAGCGAGCGCGATTCGACGACGAAGCTATCTCAGCGGCCGAAGACCGCGTCTTTGAAGACACTGTTGACGCGTCACTCGAAGTCTCAGCGCGCCAAGCAAAACGTTCTATCAACACAGACGGATACGAATCTGATAGTACGGATGATGGAGAATGCGTGGTAATGAGTCGTAGGAGTGGTGCGAACGAGATGGGTGATGAAGACGATGATATGTTCGCTCCTTCTGGCTCTGCCGGGAAGGAGGGAACGAAGAACGAGGCGGCGGATGACGATGACGATGACGATGAGGAATACGGTGGAGGGAGTAAGAAAGAGAAGGTGCTAGAGTTGGGAGATATTGAGGGGCAGGAGTTTGGAGAGGCTGGAGGGGGGCAAAGCGACAATGAGGACGACGACGACGAGCCTGTTGACGAGGACGAGGCAGAACGACGTGCCAAAAAGGGCATGGGCTTCGAGCTCACAGGTTTCAACATGAAGGAAGAAATGGAAGAAGGAAAATTTGTGGATGACGGGACGTTCGTACGCTCTCGAGATCCGCACGAGATGCATGATCGTTGGCTCGAGGGGACGAGCGAACGAGATATGAAGCGTGCGAGGAAAGCGCATGAAAAGAGGGAAAAAGAAGAGAGAGAACGAGAAGCAAGGGAGATGAGAGAGCAGCAGCGAAAGGGGAAGGAAGAATACGAGCTGGAGTTAGTGCAGCTGATGAGGAGGGGAGAGTCGGTCATGGAGACGCTGCAGCGGTTAGGCGCAGAGGCGAAGAAAGCTGGAGGGCAAAAGCACAAAGCGAAGCGGAAGCCCGCTGGGATCGCCGCTGCAAGCATGGATATCGACGGCGACACTGAGCCTTCTGTGGCTAAAGGGAATCATCAGACGAACGGGCACGTCGAGACAACACCTATCGAGCGAGTAACAGCGCTTGCCTCCACGCTGATGGAACTGGGGAATATGGACGTGTACGACGACACCTACGAGCAGCTCCTACGTTCTGTTCGACGGTCTGGACTCGTCTCCCAGAACTGGGTACCGCCCTCACAGACTCCTCCTCGAAAGGCCTCGCCGCCACTAGACAACACGCAATATGAATATCGTTGGTCACCAGACTATCTCGCCGTCGCTGGCGGCTCCGTAGAAGGTCCCCAGACGTTCGGCCCGTTTCAAAAGCGTGATCTAGATGCCTGGCGGTCGGCGGGGTATTTTGGTGGATATGAGAATTGTGAAAGGGTGCAAGTTCGTGGGGTTGGGGACAGCGAATGGAAGAGCTGGAACGCGGTCTTCGCGGAATGATGATGGTTGATTGCTTCTGGACTTCTTTGATTAGCACCTAAAACGGCAGCTTCTTGTTCCGATCATGTACAACATTGACAAACGCATACATAGCTAATGAGTAAACGACCTATCTCCTTCACCATATAGTGACTGATACATGTTTTCTGGACACCTCTTAATTAGGCAGAATGAAGCCAGGAAGGAGGAGTGTGTCTCTACGGGGCCGCTCCGTTCCCTATTCAATTGCTCTCCACCTAAAGTATGCCGCCGACAATAATGCCGGCTTGTTTATAAGGGCCGTACCCTCCGTTACTTGCCAGCTGGCTTAAAGCTCTTTCTCTCTTTCTCCCTCTTTGCCATTCAACTCTCTGAACCGCCGATATCAGCTGAATGATGTCCATCCTCCCGCTGACAAAGAGCATCCTCCTCCTGGGAGACTCGATCACACAGCAAGGCTCACAGGCAGGGGGCTACTGTCAGCTACTGGCGGGTGAGCACGGTGTGCTGACATCACCTGTTCGAGATCTGAACAGATCTTAGAATCTTACATCCGGAAGCTTGCTGTGGTGAATCGCGGTTATGGAGGTGCGCCACCTCTTCTATAAATGGAAAGGTAGTTGATCGTGTGACAAATGAGCAGGGTACAACGCCAAATTCCTGTATGAGATTGTCAAACAGGTGAGAGTTCCTATTGCTATAAAAAGAGCTGGAACTCACTCAGCATGTATACAGATGGTAGTTGAGAAGAGCAGGAAAGACTTCAGCGAGGTCGCCCTCGTAACGCTCTTCATTGGTAAGTCGTATCATCTTTATCCCGTCCAGTCTCCTTGATGTCACGGTCACTATCCAGGTGCAAACGATGCGACCGATCCTGTCCTCAACCCGAGGCAGCACGTAAAGTTATTTATACCACCTTGGGAGAAAACCGCTCAGAGCCAACTAGATTCCTCTTCCGTTATATAAGGAGAAAGTGAAGGCAATTCTTGGCTTCTTCCCCCCAAGCACCCCCAAGATCCTCATCACGCCGCCTCCAGTACAGCCCGAACGCTTCGCGCGGTTCATCAACGCAGACAAGCCTGACCGCGACATCAAAGTCACCAAGAAGTATGCTGAGGCTATCGTAGAAATCGGAAAGGAGCTTGGCTTGCCAGTCGTGGATGTGTTCGAATTGTTTGAGAAGGTACCCCAGGAGGAGTGGGATAGCTTGTTTACCGATGGACTGCACTTGAGCTCACGAGCATACAAGGTGAGCAAGTACACTCTGAAGAAACGTATGCGAGGACTGAACAGTCGATTAGCTGGTTTATGATGCACTAACCTCTGTCATTAAGAGCAAGTATTCGGCTCTTGACCCAGAGAAGATGCGCATGGTATTTCCTGAGTGTGTATCTTTCCACCTTTTCCTTGTTTGTTCTTTGACAGCTCTTCCAGATGGGGATCAATTGATCTCGATAACATCGAAGAGTCATTAAAGTACCGAGGCTAAGCTGATGACAGTGTGCGAATGAAATGGGGTATTGACTGACGATAGGGGAGTCGGTCCCCGAACAAATGAATAAGACGTGTCATGAGATACAGATGAAATATATCTCAATCGTGGATTTCCAACAAGGCATTATGATTACTACAATCTGCGCGTACACTACCTACAAAAGATCCACAAGATATATTGCAAGACGTTGGTGATCGACATGACGTGCGCGGTATGATCAATGATGCAATGATATCGGAGCGTGAAACAGGCAAAATAAACTACAACCCACCTCACTCAATGGGAACGCAGAGTCCCGTGATAAGACATTGTTTGATCCAATTCGGCCCTACCCTCTTCGCCCTCTTGTTACGTGGTAAGGTAAAACTTGTTTCTTCATCTGGCCAGTAGAGATAGTCATACGAGTTCCAGTCCACATCGAGGCTCAACGCAGACGTTTTTTCCACATGCTCCGCACCCATCGCCCACAGTGCATCGACCAGGCGACCCTTGAGGAAGTTGTCCTTCTTCGAAACAAGGAAGAACAGTCGTTTCCCTTGCAAGGGCCGACAGATATGTGGACTGGATATGATATCATTCATGAAAGACCGGCCAGCATCATCGTCTTCAACCCAGCGCCAGTCGACTTTCTGCGAGCACTCCGTCCCTTGATAGTCCGACTTTCCAGCTGAGAGCAGATAAGGACCCCATTTGTCGATTGTGGTCCTTTTCTCTATCACATCAGAGATAAACCTAGACCCGAGACAAGGAACACCGAGAGCAAGTGCCATGAGATACTTGGGGGTGGTCGACACTTCACGCGCGATGCACCATACGGCTATCAGTCCTCGTTCAGCACCTTTCCAAGTGATATGCTGCTCGGTGACGTCAAAATAATCTCCAAAATCCTCGGCTACTTGCCCGGAAGCTTGTTCGATTTGCCGTACAAGTTCTGCTTTCGTCTTGTCTTCTTTGGCTGTGACGATGAAAGCGTGTCCTTCAAATACCGCCGACATTGGACGACCGCGACGCCGCTGAGACGCTACAGGGCTCTCCGAGGTTGATCCACCAGGACCAGCGGTACTAGCTCTCCTTCTTCTGTCCTCGGGTTCTCGCTTAACGATCGCATGTACAACGACTTGATCGCTTGTCAATTTGCGGTCGTCCCAATCGGCAACAGCATTCCGAGGTATCCGAAGCGACTTGATCGCCACTTGCTCGATACTTTGGGAACCTTGGTCTAGTCTGATCCTGACGAGCGCATCTTTTTGCACGGTTCCAAATGCACCTTCCATCACCGTTCCTTCACGCCATTTACGGTCCTTCAGGATGGCGATCGTATCTCCTTCCTTCAACACGGCAGCACGGAGGGAACTCACGGCTACGGTTTCTAATATGGCACCGTCGTCGAAATCGAGATGAAACTGTCCAGCTTTGCGACCGCTACTCACACGGTTTGTGACAGTGGCAGGATAATAGCATTTGTCGGACCAGCCAGCAAACACTCGTGAGAAAGGCGCACCAGCTCCGATCACAGGAGAGGGAGTGGGTTCCTCAGCAGCGATCTCCAGTTGATCTGTGCCGTGAGGGTGGGGCTCTTCAGGCTCTTCGTCTTCATGGATAACTGCTTGAACATGCGCTTTCTTGGCGGAGCCTTTGACCGGCTTCCTGGCAGCAGCTGTTGTCCTGACCCGGCGTGTGGTTGCTGACCCAGGTGCCGACCCAGGCGCACCTATGCCGTCTTCCTCATGGACTTGGCCCCTCCTAGGATAACGAGAGGTCACGCTTTCTGGTTCGGAGGATCTGGCGTCTCGTGCTACTGCTCGCCTACGCCGCTTAGGGTCGGCAGATTCTGCATCAGAAGGTTCCTTTTCTGCCCTTCGCTTAATCCCCTTGCTGGCAGACTTCTCCATCAGTTTTGGCGGCCCAGATACAATGCTCTCCCTGTCATCACGCGAGGTTGCTTTCTCCTTTCCTTCAGTCTGGGGTGCTGGCTCGGTTTCTTCTTCCTCTGGGTCAACTCCGTGACGATTCCGCCGAGAAGAATATACCTTCTTCGCCTGGTTAGCCTTATTTGGGGTTCTCGGTTCCGTCGCCATTCCCCTCGCATTTTTGTAGCGCTTTGCCGGCGCCTCATCGCTTCCTGCAATAGGCGTGTGCAGGCGCTTTGCTCCCCTCCGGGGTGCGGTGACTGCGGGAACCTCACTCGGAGAAGCTAGCTCCTGGGTGCCTTGAATATGCATTTCTTCTCCCTCTTCTTTCTGTTCCTCTCCTGGTGCATGATCAAGGGAATCTATTTCAGGGTGTGAGACCACTCTGGGCTTTTGCCGTTGGCTTTGACTTGGCCCTCGAGTGTCCCTGCTGCTCTTCGACCAGCGAGTATCTCTCGTCGCCCTGTCCGTAGAAGCCGAAACCTTTCTTAACGAGTCCCCTGGTTGAGCCCTGCTGCTTTCGCCTACAACGTCTTGAGGAGCATCTTCGGGTTCATGGCTCTCTTCTCGATCCGGTTCCTGTTCAGGCTCTTCGACAAGGGGCGCTGAGCTGCTGGTTTCCACCAGCACTCTCTGCCCACTCCCCACCGTCAATCCCAACATACCAAGACCAGTGTCGGTCGTCGCAGTACGCAGGACATCAGCGTCCATCCTCTCCGGTAGGTGGGCAATGTCAGAAGGAGGGGGAAGGAGAGGGAGAGGAAACGAGCGCCGGACAATGGAAGACATGGTCGTTGAGGGGTGGTGGGAGGCAGCGTCACCTACGGAAATGTTTGCATCATGATTATCAACATGCTCGGACTCATGCTGATCGGCGACGGCGGGAACAGAAAAGATTGGAGGAGAAGGTTTTGTCCCTTTCGAAGCAGAAGCCGAAGGAGGTTTCTTCGATTTGCTCGCCTCTTTCCGTGCTGCTCGTTCTCCTGCGTCCAAGGATTCCTCATTGGACTTGGTCATTCCTCTCTTCTTTCCTCGCCCCTTTCCCTTCTTGGTGACATTCTCCTCTTGCTCCTGTTCCCGTTCCCTCTTACCCGCCTCATCCAAGTATCTCGTCCTGGGACTCAACGCTCCGAAGCTGCTCTCTCTACTCGGCGGGACGGGGCTGGGAGCTTTCTCCCCTTTCCTGGGTAAGAACTTATAATCTCTTGCTTTGGCAGCTCGTTCATACGACGTTCGCAAGGCAAGCAGTGGAGGATCGCCAAGTTCGGCGCTGGGTTCGGTGGGGGTGAAAGGCTGATGAGGAGAAGGAGTCTCGGGCACTTCGTTCGTGCTTGGAGGGGTGCGAGGGGCCTGCATAGGAAGGTCGCGTTCGGCGGCGGGATCTTCTATGTCAGGTATCGGTACGTTTTCTTCAACTGTAGGGAGGGATGATCCAAATTCGCGCTTTCCGGCGTTCGAGTGCGGCTCGCTGACGGGAGTGAGGATACCCGTAGCGGAGGAGGGGATAACTGTCGTACTAGGTGCTGTACGAGGTGCTGGCGGCGGCTCGCGGAGTTTGACGCGGTCGTGGTCGTTAAAAGCGCTGTCTTCTTGTTCGTTAGAGGTAGAGAGTGAAAAAGGAGGAGGGACTATGTAGGCGAGTTCTTGTGTATGTTCAAAAGGCGGGAGGAGTCCCCCGCTCAACATTGAGCCACGAGTCGCGTGCGAATATGTGTCACGCTCCATCCCAATAAGACCGTGATGAGGATCAAGAGCCCCTATCACGCTTGGTGGTTGATTGATATTGATCTCGCTGCTTTTGTTGTCCCCCTCTATCGGTGCGCCAGCAAGCGAGCCCTCTGACTGTGCCGCCTCATTGTCCGCACTGCCCCCAGCACGGTTTAAAAGCCGTGGATCATGCGGCTCGCTCCCTGCTGTGTGCGTACTGATATTCGTCTCCATGGTCCATCCTCCTACTGCAGCTGTATTGGAGGTAGCGCCCAAACTGAAGCTGGCACCAGATTCGGATGATGTATAATCGATATGCGCTCCTCGACGGGGACGAGGGACGCTCAGGCTGCTCCCTGTGCCTGTGCCGCTTCCAGAGAAACTGTGATTCCCGGTCCACCGGGATGAGCCGCTTGTGGATTGATCCTGGTGAGAAGAATGTGATGGGATGGAAGAATCGAACTCGTGCGGCAGATACAGCGGCTGTGTGCTGACCTCCCCAGAGCCTGACGGCACTGAGCTCCCTTGGCCTTGCGCTGCAACGCGTGTTGCCACCGGAACCTGTGAGTCGACCCAGTCTGGTTGTAGATGTGGTGCATGAGGAGCAGTGCCATATGCGTAGGGAAGGACGTCTTGAGAGTCGATGTGGGGGAAGGACGCCATCCTCGACGTTGAGGACAGAGCGTCCGACGCAGAAAGATGTTGAATGTTGATGGAAGTGCCTGATTGGGACGCGTCTCGGAGGCATTTACGGCGCGTGCAACAACCGGGTTCCCGAGATCTGCTGTGGGCATAACTCTTCCTCTGTAACATTTCTGCACAACTAGAACTGCATTATTTGAAGGGCAACCTCCGTGACACGGGAGAGGTGACCCTTCTGGATGGTTACAAGAACGCAAACGGCCGCTCCACTATTCGGCTTCCTCTCCAGGATTCTGTCAACCCAGTCTGTACTTTTGCCGTCTTCTGCCAACGTGGGTCAGTTTTCGCGCTGGAAGATTTTGCCCCTGGGAACAACACCTATGAATTATGTCGAGAAGAATGACACTCGACAGAAATCCTCTCCTAAATCACCAGATGTCATCCCGTTTTGGATCATTATCCTCATCCTCTCGGAGATCCCGCATCTCGTGGTCGACAAGATATCTTTTGACGTGATAAAATGTCGCCCAGCCCTTGTTGTTCCGATGAGAATGCTTTCACAACGAACTGTCAGCACTATGCCTCATAGATGAACTCGGTAGCTGACTCGAAGAGAAAATTGGACCCAATTAACTCCTCTTCCCCACCAAGGTTTCCGCGCATGCAGCGAGTACCTCGCGATCAAATGCGCGTCGCTTTCGTTTCTATCCCTTCTCATTTCCTTCTTCCAACAGCTGGTGGAATGTCGGTACTACAAACAATCTGCAGAGTTAGATGCATGGAGACTTCGAAGCCTCACTGACGTGATGCGTGTCTGTCCACGTACGAGGCGTTGTAGACGGCGCAGAACTCGGAGGCGGACTTGGGGCAGGTGAGCTGATTGTCGGCCCAGACGCTACGCTGAGTTGGGGTGCGTCCATGGCATACCCCTCGGCCATGTCCCCTGAAGGCCCACTTCCAATGATGATGACATCCCTGTCCTCTTCTTGTGGCATATTCAACGCACTGTCTGGAACGTCAGTCTTCTCGGGCGTAGTGTTTTCTGCATCATCGGTTTCTTCAATATACATCCATCGACTTCGAACATCAGCTAAATCTTGAACACGCCTTCTTCGGTGGGTGCCGTCGTCCTGTGCGTGCTCTTCGAACTCGATGACTGACTGGATATCACCGTCTGATGTCTCCTGAAACGAAACCCTTTTCCTCTCCGAGGGCTCCGCGTCTTCACTCTCTTCATTATCATCAAGGCTCTGGTCGCTCTGAAGGGTGACGACTTGCACCTCCTTAACTGATCCAAAAGTTGGCATTCTTCCCCCAGGTGTGGCGTTCTCTTGTTGAGTGTGCACTGATGCGTCTTCGGAATCCATTCGCTCGTTACCTTGGTCAATGTCAGCGACGGCCATCATACTATCGTCGTCGATCACGTCCACTTGAGCCATATGAGCTCGTGCACGTTCGTCTGGGATCTTATCCCAATCAGCAAGGTCGTCGGTGCCGAGTTCTGCGCTTCCATTCTCCGCCCTCTCTACGTCGGGTTGTTGTTCCAACTGGGGAGCATCGGAAACCTCCATAGGAGGCTCATCGTTTATCTCTTGATCGTCTTGCTCGTCACGATCCTCCTCACATGGCATTTCCCCGTCGGAGTCGTGAGGAGCCTGCTCACTGATCGGAAACGGTAGAAGTTTCTTGACCTCAACTACCGACATGTAAACTGATCTAGCACAGTTCACGTCCAGCCCAGCAGCCCACCTTCATACGCCTTCTCATACTTTGCCAATTCCTCTTCGAGTGTCTTAATATCCAAAGCGACGTCTGTGCTCGACTTGTGAACCTCCTGGTGCACGATCTTGAGCGCGAGGCAGGTGCGATAAGCCTGCAGGATACACCGTGCAGCACGCGCAAATCGGTCATATTCGTCGGGTGTAGGCAGTGACATAGTATTTGGGGTTGCTTGAGGATAATTGCGGGGTCTGGTCGGGGAAAGAGTGGTGTGCGAAGATCTGGGTTATCTGACACGTCTCATATAACGACCGATAAGAAGGCGCTTATAATGCTGAATGACCCGTTCCCTTCGCTGGTGATTCTGCCAGCAGCACACCGAATCCCACACTATTCATCTTCGGCACAGGATTCGTCTGCTGCATGGCTAGCACGTGCCTCATTGAGGCTCTAAGGAGGTGAATTACAATCGCAGGTGATCCGCTCCAAATCGGGACACTTGCCGTATCCGTGCAGAAACCTAGAAGTCTTCTACTGCTCCGAGTATGCATCCCTGATTCACAGGGAGGGGGAGGGACCCAACTGCGATAATCAATTGCATTTGATTGAAACGAGCTACATCTCGATACATAGCCTGTCTTTACATGATGTTTCCACAGCTTAGTGCTCGGCTGTCCACGGGACCAGGAAAGCAGAGCGTGGACCGAGGATGTCACATAGTATGTTGATATACCACATTCGCAAGTGTAGAGACGACGGCCGCCAGGGCACCTTGTCTCTAGGCTTTGTAGCGAGTGGAGTTCATAAACCGTAGTGAGGGTCGCTTGCGTTTGCGCGCCCGATGGAGTTTTGAATCGAGCCGGCTTCCTCTAGCAGGGTAGAAACTGTGGGCTCCGCCGCACTGACCAGTCTAAGTCAACTTCGGATATCATTCAGTTTTCACGACAGGAACAGCTTCGTCCCAGTCATATGTCATGATAAGGCGCCCAAGGATGGCGGCGTTCGAGATGACAAACCCGATGCACGCCATCCATAGAGAGAAGTAAACGCTTTGACCTTGAAACTCAAGCTGGAAGGCAATAGCAAGCCAGACAGCCTAGGCGGTTTATTAATGTGACATCGAATGAGGGAGGCGAGGGAGTACCTGGGAACCTATCCACAATGCCAACAGACCCATGCCCTCCAGCCGACTAACACGTAATCGTGGTATCACAAGTGGCAAAAACCAAAGGTACCACATGAAGTACTTTGAGAGGTCAGACACTGCCGGACACAAGCAAGCTGGGATAAATACCTGAGAAGTGCACACTTTGTTGAGAAGCACGAATGCGGCTGTTTGAGCTGCCCAAGCACCCGGTAAGTTGCGTTGGCCGAATTTTACCCCGAGGCCGAGCGTCAGGGCGAGCTGTGGCACGAAGCTGACCAGAGATGATATCCTCGAGTTTGACGAGCCATGTGTCAGATATACGAGATAGAAAAAGGGGGAGAAATTATGCCGGTGATCTTTCCGGGTTAAGTGGTATAAATAGGTTTGCTCCAGAAAAGGATATCCCCATCTGGTGCAATGAATCAACAAGCATAAGGGACACGTGAATTAGACTTACATGGAGTACATTACTGCTCCCAGAGCGAAGAATGTCCCTGCACTAGTAAGGGCAAAGAGAAGTGCAGGAGGGGATATCCATCCTCTCCATCCCTTCCCGCGGGCCAACCACGAAAGGACAGCAACGCCATACACGAATGGATATATCTTGAGGTGTGTTGCAATACCAAGCATGATTGCACTGAAAACAAGAGTACCGGGCTGAAGAAAATACAGGGATGATATCACAGCCAGTCCTATGAGAGCTTCGGACGAGCCTCTCGTAGATATGTTCAGGGGGAACGGATTCAGTGCCCATAGAATTGTGACGAAGTTCATGCTGGTCCCTAATGGCAATAGACTGCGTAGTTGCAGGCTGATCATGATGTTTGATAGCGAAAAGACTGCTTTGCCCCACGCGGGATGCATTAAGGTGTTGGGTGTGAGGATCAGCGCCAGCAACGGAGTATAGCGGTAGGTTGAACGACAGTAAGGACTGCCGAGGGGTGAGCAATTATCAGAATTATGATGAGTTTTGACTCACTCGCCCAACTGCAACCCAAACCGCTCAGCTAGCCAACCTCCTGCAAACCCACTCTTTTCCGGGTGCAGCACGAATCGGGCAGCATCACTGAAGACGTGATAGTCGATGTCAGTGTACTTCAGTGGCGAATGTGCATCATGCCAGTCGCCATAGATGATCAAGCCTACATGCAAAAGGGCGGACAATAGTAATATTAGAGCGAAGGGCACCTTGATGAGGTGGTGGAGCATTGACTAGCACAACGGAAAAGGTGCAGTTAAAAAATCGAACTTGAGGGGGTCCATTTGATTCCGGGAGGGTTAACCGTTTGGATTAATGAGCCAGAAAAAGCCCTGTTGCTTCCCCGTACCTGACACGACCGAACAAAGCGGATCTGAAGCGACAAATGGCAGTCTGTTTGCCAAAGCTGAAAGGAATATTGGGGTTGTGAGTGTGAATCGGAAATCCAAATGTAAAATGGATTCTCAACAAAGGAACTCCAGAAACAAGTCTTTCACGGCTTCAAGAAAGCCAGCAAATGTAGAAGCTCCACCTCGTCTTTCAACGCTGCCTCATGATATTCTCCTGGAAATTGCAGCTATCCTTTCACGAACACCTCTTGACGTGCCCTTTGAGTGGGGTATGCTGAGGGAATCTCACACACTTCTTATATGCGATGATTCTCCTCCCGCCCTGTGTGCCTTCTCCCAGGTTTGTCGCCCGTGTCGGCTTGCATGTCTCCCATATCTTGGGCAAAACCTACGACTTGGAAGCTTCGAAAACATATTTGATCCTGTGGACACATCCCCAAGTGCCCAGTGGACTGAAGCTTTGCATTTTGATAGGGTCGAGCAGATCTGTGCATGCGCATTCCGCGTTCAGACAGCTCCTCTTGACGTTCGCAGTCGCATCAAGTAGGGTTTCGAGCCTATGTACGCTGTATTGCTCTGACTTTTGTTGGCAGACGGCTGCGATGGATAGGTCTAGACGTGAGTCTAGCATACAGGCTGCTAAGCTGCTTGCCTTCGTTGCAGGAGCTACGACTTGTTCCCTCCTATATGTCCTTGCGACTTCTGCCCGATGGGACCTCCCTTCCCGCATCCCTGTCGTTCCCCAAGCTTCGATATCTCTCTCTTGATACCTCCTCATCTTCTCTTGCGTTTTTGTCTCGATGTCCGGCCCTGGAATGTGTCAAGCTGTTCTATTACCCGGGAGCGGTGTATGCGTTTGGTTTCAATCAGTTCGAGGATATGTGCCAGGCCTTGAAAAGGGGTGGATCAAACAAGACGCTACGCATTCTCGATTTTGCCGGACATTCATGGAGCACTCGATTATATCTGCTCGCTGCTACGAAACTCACTCAGCTGCCATTGGAAAGCCTGGAAGTCGTCAATATGAACCATAGCCCCCTCAATCATCCGCCCGAGGTAGGCGCTGAAGTGGCAACACTATTGTATCCTGAAGCTGAACGCCAAACAGCTTCTCGAAGATGTTATCAATCAGCTCCTGAATTCGGTACCAACGCTGCGCGCGCTTGGCCTACTCCAAACAACACCGGGCTACGATCCATCAGGTGACGATCAAGATCAATGGAAATTGCGCAGCATCGCGTGGGAAGCCGGAATCGTGGAACACATCTGGCCTCGTGGACCAAAGCTTGACTACATATCCTTTGCCGGGAAGGAATCAGGCATTGTACGACGCCTGTGGACAGCTGATATAATCAGCAGCCCACACGACCCCACGAAAACATCGTACCAAGCAAGGTTGTTGCAAGAAACAGTCTTATGCGGCTCCAGATTCGAAGGTGCACATTCTGGGTTTCCACTTGCCGTGGATGAGGCTTGGGCAGAATTTGTGGACTAGGATGATGGGACAACAGCATATGGTGGCACCCCATAGTGAACTCATTATCATCATGGTGAATTTGGTGGGGATCGCACCATATTTGTGATATAATCCTGAGAAGGTACAAGCATCGGAAAGCGTTGTTAGTACATCGGTAGTATTCCAGCCTTCCAAGCTGGAGAGCTGGGTTCGATTCCCAGGCAACGCATTTACATATTGATTTTTTGTCTCCATTGTTTGATTCCGGCCTCGTATATGCAGGTCTAGTCTCTTGCCCTCAACCAGACGTTGTGTGATCTCACTACAACAGCGTGGAGTAGGTATCTATATGAGTTGTACTTGAAGAGCGCCAGCCGCTAATCTCCAGCTTGTGGTGATACATGCGTCCCGTCTGGAGAAGGCTCTCCACTCTTTAACAGTCTGTTTTGGAGAAAAGCCCACCATTCCGTTGAACATATCCCTCAATCGAATTGTTGCGTTTGCTCCATCTGTGCGAGTTCTGCTTCGGATAGCACAAACTCAGGCGGCACCTATGCACACGGCTCAGAAGCCCGTGCTATTGACGAAGACCTCTGACGCACCTCAAAGTCAACATGTTCCTGACTTAGTTCCTCTTCTGCCTCCTCCTTTGTTATCGCCCAATCCCTCTCTTCGACGTCAGGTAGCCCTGCCCCGGCAACAGCAAGCCTGTCGGCTATCTCATTACCCTCTACACCGGCATGCCCCCGTACGTGCTGGAGTCGTATGTGACCCGGGCGTTCTTCCATAAGATACGAGAGGTATAGGAGTAACTCCTTGTTCTTCACGGGTCCTTTGGAGGTTTGGAATCCGTTTTTTCTCCATTTGGGAAGCCAGTCACGCATACCTGTGACCTGTCACGCGGTGTTCTGCGTAATTGACGAAAACCCACATTGGATAGAGTAGCTGGAGTCAGTCTTCAGAATCAACGGTGCGGCAGGATCGGGATCAGTTTCTAGAGCGCGCACAAGAGCCTGATTGTGCATGAGAATCAAGTATGGTGTGTGTGTTGTGTTGTGCTCACAATCAACTCAGCACGGTTATTCGTCTGTGCTCCGGGAAGGCGTTCAGAGATGTTTCTGGATCGGGATTGGTTTCCATTGGGAAGAAAAGAAAGTGACATATGCGTACTTCATTCCCGGTCCCCAGTACACACCAATGCCGCCGGTGGCTCCTGCACGTCCATTGCCCGAACAAGCTCCGTCGGTGTAGACGACCTTCCACACCTTTCCATCTACCACCACCTCTAGTCCATCCTCCCCATTCTTCTCTATTCCTGTTTCAATCGGAGCTCGTACTTTGGTGGGAACGCCAGCAACTGGTCCCCTAGGCGTGGGAGGGCGAGTGTAGGGATTGTTCTTGGATGTCGAGGTAGCTGTTGACGCAGGAACAAGGTTGCTTTGTACAAAAGCTTCGGCCTCTGCACGGGTCATGAAGCCCTTATAAACAGCGCCAGAATATCCTTTGACCTGGGTTTCGGTCTCTCTCCTTGATCTTGATCAAATTGACGTTGTACAATAAGGCAAGTGGACGCACCATGTTCGATAAACCCCTGGCACTTGGCCACGCCGGACAGCATAAAACTGAGGTTTCGTCGCCTTCGGCATGACCCGCCTCAGAGCAGTACTTGCGAACGAAAGTGCCCGTCTGAGTGAGGTATTAATGATGTGTGACAGCTTTATACTTCGATGAAGGTGTCATTGAGAGCTTGCCTTGCTCATAACCCCTAACGTCACGTGAGCCCCTGAAAATAGGAGATATGTAGACACACCGACCTCTTTAGGTAGTTTTGACTCCTGAGTGTTCTGCAGTTGAATTGCATTATGTCCTGCAACTTTGAATGGATGTGTATCTGTAAAGAGCAGCCTCGTGTGTCTATCCTCAAGTTCTGCAAAAACAAGGTTTGCGTTGAAGAAGTGAGAAACGGTTCAGCTCGCACGACGGTGAATTATCGTAGTCATACAACATTATCACTACTTCGGAGCCGGACCCCAACGTCTCACATCAACAACATCTCTCTGATGTACACAGTGACGACCAACAAACACAACCTCTACGTACATGATCCGCGGCGTGCTCACACACGTGACGCACGCTCTCGGACGCAGGTACGACTAAGAGACGAGTTCCTAACAAATCAACCATACGAGATACTCAGAGAAAGACGACCAGGGACGAGAAGGAAAGAAGGGGTCGAGTAACGACAGAGGTTTAGGCTTCAATCAATGAGCGGAAGGCCCCCAAGGGAAAAGGGGCAGATGAAAAATGGTGCTGCATGCAGGCGGTGATGGGAAGGTCGGTGAGATGGGCGTAAGATCACGGCAGACGGTGAGATCGAACGTGAACGGACCAGCAGGGCTGGGTGGTAGATGGGTGGACGGCGGGATGGTGGAAGTATGGGACCCCTACAGCAGACGGGCGGTACATGTATCGCGGTAACAGTGTAGAAAGGAGTGGCGCAGCAGGCAGCTTGAGACAAAGCGTAACGATTCGAGACACGGTGAAAGACGAAGCGATAGCGGAGCAAAGAGCACGCATAGAGTTCAGTGGTGATAGAGACAGCAAAGTGGATTGAGCAGATGATCATGATGAGAAGAACGGCTGAGCGGTTGGTGCGGGTGTCGGAAATAATGTCTATTTCTTGACATTTACGCGAAAAGACTGAGTCCACTCGAAGCGTAGCCACTTCCGACAGTCACGCCCATGTTCATATTTGACGTGAGCCACGGCATGCCAACAGTCGTGCCAATCGCAGGTGCAGGTTGAGGGACTGCGAGCCCACCGGAAGAGGTACGGCGGCTGTGCGAAGAGACAAAAGGCACTGTCGGGTTGGTCATGCCGGAATTCATGAATGCGGCCGTCACGGGAATCGGGGGACTGAGCGAAAAGTTGGCTTCTGGGCTGGCTCGGTTGGAGTGCACGCTGGCAGAATTGGAGCGGATGCTGCCAGAGGGACTTGAGTGAACGCTGTTCATGCCGTCGGTAACCATGGGAGCAGATACGCATACACCGGCATCACCATCGTGCATGCTCGATGGTGGCGTTATGGCCTGCGTGGTGGGCGCCTGGTATCCAATTCCTGAGAGGGCGGAGATGGAGGTGCCTGGCCCAGGAAAGAGGACCTGTGCATTACGCTGATAGTTGGCCAGAAACGCCTCCTGGGCCTGCTGCACGAGCGGGTCCGACGCAGGCGGTGTGGTAACCGCGGGAACCGAAGAACCGTGCGAGCTGCCAGGGGGTGTGAACATCGAAAGCGAGGTAACCGGTTGAGCGAGCTGAGCCTGGGGCCATTGCTGGCTCTGCATCTGCTGGTTCTGATTTTGCATCATGTTGATCATCTGTTGTTGCTGTTGCTGTTGTTGCTGCAATTGCTGTTGCTGTTGCTGGGTCCAAGCAGCGGCCTTAGTCTGACCACTGTCGAACATGGTAGGGGCGCTGGAAAAATCCAGGCCCACCTGCTGTTGAGAGGCACCATACTGATGGGATGGGTGTGACGGTGGAGGTGGGGCAGCATAACCGCGCTGCGGGGGCATCTGCATGCCCATGTTGCCCATACCGATAGGCATCATGCCCATTGCCATGCCCATACCATGATTCATGTTATGGTTGTACTGCAGGCCTTGACCGGCACCACGACCACCCGAAGTGGGGCGGTCAGAGAGCTCATCCGGGCCATCACCGTATTCGTCCTCATCAGCCTCGTCCACGGCATTCATCGCAGCGTACGCAGCACGCTCCTCCTCATTCTCCTCCACCTCTTCAACGGTCATGAGGATGTGGAAGTCTTGAGAGCGGATTGGCTCCTCAACGGGCGGCATGCGAGCGCGTTCACGCCATTCGTTGACTTCACGGCGGAGGATGTCGGACTCGGACTTGAGGAGGCGCAGCTCGCGAGCTGCAACACCGCGCGCCCTGCGCTGCTGGTGAATCAGGGCGATCGAGCTGTTGACGATGGCTGATTTCGATGGGCGACGGACCGATTGCAGATTGGGGAGCATGGCGGCAAGGTCGAGGAAGCGCCCGTTGAGGGTTTCACGCCGCTGCCTCTCGACAGCATTGTGGGTCGCACGCCTCTCGGCGGTGTTGGCGCGACGGCTCGGCTTGCGGCGCATGGGACCAATGGCGGAGTCGAGGCCGCTCTCGGTCACAGCACTGGAGGGAACAGCGCTGGGTGGATTAGAGAAATGGTCGGAAGCGGTGTCGGTCTGAAGAGGGGCGAGACCCTGCGCACCCTCAGAGAGCCTGGGAACCGGCGATCCATTGGGAGATTGTTTGATGGTCGACATTTTTGAGTAAGGAGAGTGCATGTATGGTTTTGATATTGGAGTTACAGATGCGTTTGTGTGTTGTGTGGTGGTGAGAGTGTGAAGACGTTGAGAAACACTGGATGGATGAGGCCGTTGCTCGTTGGAGTACGCAGAACGATGCCTAGGGTTTGTAGGAAAGGTAAATCTGGGAAGCGAATGAGCTACAGAAGTACCGGGGATTGACGGAATGAGGTGTTGGTAGGTATGGATATGAGGATAGGTATTGCAGCTGAACGGTTACGCGCGAAAGGCAGCGGACACCGAAGACAGAAGCAAGAGGAAATCGAGTTAAAGAGTGTTTGTGTGGGGAAAAGGCTTTGAGGGAATGGCGGATAAAACGGTTTGAGAGAATTGCACAGAGAAGGGTCGCGAGATCTGCGCATATAGTCAGCATACATTCAGCTCATCGTCGAGTGTCAACTCCAGGAGAGGAGGGGATGAGAGTGAAAATTGATCACTAAGACATCCATGAAACGATGTCCTTCGTTCCGCCTCAACTCTCCTGGTAGCTGGTGGTCGACAGTACAATAGTACGCACTTCAAGCGGTATCCTTTCTGGCGGGGGGCTGGCGAGGAGAGGGGAAAAGGGGGGGAAGAAGGAGAAAAGCGAGCTAGACGCTGTCTAACGACGGCGAATACTAGACGATGAAGGGGCAAGGGGGAAGGGAGGGGGAAACAGGGGCCGCGCGGGCGATGTACTGGGGAATGATAAGAGCGCGGACCGGCACAGGCCAGACCTTGTTCCTGAGACCCACCCGCTGAATGCAAAAAGGTCTCCGCTTCCAAGAAGGGACATCCCTCCCAGACCCAGTTTCACATGCTGTGTCCCCGCCCCCGTTTAATGGGTCAATAACCCCCCGACCCAAAGCGTTTCTCATTCCGGTTGCTTCCGTACCTATCCCTTCTTCCTCGCTTCTCTGGACCCTCGTTCGCGCACGGCCTCTGTTGCTCTCCTGTCCTCCTGTTTCCATCCCTCGTTCTCACGCATCAGATGGGAGTAAAGAAGCAAAGCAGTCCGACCCGCAACAGAAGTCCCCGCTGTCCAGGTTATTGTTTTGATATCTTCATTCAACTCCCTCTTTCAGACCGGAGCTTTTAGTTTAAATCTTCCATTCCAGTCCCAAACTATCCAAACCCTTGTTACTCTCCTTGGACGAGAAAGAAGCGAGTATCTTGTCCTATATACAGACCAGATTCACTTGCATCGCCGAGCAAGTTAAACTTCTCTGCACATACATTTGATGGGTAATCCCGCTTTCTGCTTCTTACGCCCATGAAGCTTGCTAATGTATAAACTCAATTGTAGGGTTTACCATAGCTTACGACACTGCATTCTCCATCGCTTCGATTGGTAGATTGATACGCCCGATGCCCCCAGGTCCGCCCCGAATTTCTGCCCTCATCCCCCTTGATCTCTCAATGTTAGACTATCCACTGAGTTAGCACAGTCGCCCTCAGTGCTTCGCTAATCGCGCAATTGTTAAAACTGCGCCCCTGCAGGGCCCATGCACTCAGTTGAAACCCAAATCCAGCTTCGGCCCAGCTTCCGATCGACCGACATTTCTGTGCCCCTCGGCGCATCGTCTATTCCTCGGAAACACACCGAATTCAAAGGACAGAGCACGGTACCTCGGCAATAAATGGAATAACGACTTATACAGGGTGCAAGTGAGTTTATTTGGAAACTTGGTTCACTGCGTTCTTATTTAATATGTCAAAGCTAAGCAATCGGGCCATGACGGGAGTATCACGTAATTCAATCTCCCAAGTTGTATCATCATCGGTACATGTTTCGGACGTCCCTCGGGCTGTTTCGCCCAGCTTCTTCATAGGATGTGCACAATATGACAACCTCTTTAACATCGTCTTACGATCCAGTCATCAAGCTTATCTTTGGCATCAGCCGAATACAAAGGATTCCAGGGTATTCCTCATCCGAGATCACGGTGTAGAAGCATCGGTGTCTTGTTTTCTGGAAGCACAACGTCGTACGATACCCCAGTACCCCTTTCGCCCATTGTCTATGGCCTTCGCCCGCCTTCTGACCCGACTGTGAAATGCACATAACACCACATAAGTTGGCCACTTCTCCCCACTTCTCCAGCGAGAGGCTTGGTCCATACGGAGGGAGCCACCGACACCATACACGGCCACCACAGCCCCTGGTGAATTCCATATGTCTTAAGGGTCAGGGGAATATCCGCAGATAGCCATTCACCTGACCAGTAGGGTTCACCACTGGTTCTCTGTTCTTAATCTTATCCTATGCCTGACCATCTGCTATCTGCAAGAATCAGGATTACTATACTATGCTCTCAATTCTCCAGTGAGATGTTGACCATTCATTGACCAAACATGTCATTCTGGCTAACAATATTGTCTTAGAACAGTTTGTTCCAACAACAGCCCTATCACTCTCCCTGTAGTAGGCCTTGTCTCTTCCCAGCAATAGTTGCGAGAGCTGACCATCTGCCAGTCTCTCCCCAACTCAACATATGCGAGGGCTCTTCACACTCCCAGGCCAGTCTCTCCCCAACTCAACTGAATGGTGGGTTTGCCACAAGGACTTCGGCCTTCGACCTTGTCTCTTCCTAACTCAACAGTTGGGAGGACTCACACTCAACTTCGTCTCTTCCCAACTCAATGGAGGACTTGCATTTGTTATTTGGTTAGGAGATAGCACAGGGAGGAGTAAGACAGATGCAGCAGTTGATGTCTCCTCCCCTCTTATCAGCAAGCACCACAGAATAGAGTCTACTGTAGCAAACACTTCCAATTGTATTGATTCTAATTGCTACAGATTTAAAATCACTGTTCTAAACTTTGGCATGGTTAATAGTAAAGACAGGAAACTCATCGTCAGGGCACCAGCTCATTGCTTGGTCAAGAGACATGACTAAGCCTTTATGACATGGAAATAGCTGGTATACCTTGGCATGTGCTGGAACCCTGCTGGAAGGATTGGATGGTCAGGTGACCTGCTGTGCATGGCTGTGCATGACCTCATATGACCTCATCCTTGGTCATATGACCTGATCACCTGACTAGGCTGAGTAAGCAAGATGTTCTAGCAGGTTCCACCACAGAGGTATAAATATAAGGCCTACTCTGCCTGGGGACTGTCTCTTCAGACTTGGTCTCTTAGGATCATCCACAGGTACCTATACTGTAGATAGGTCTTAG